CAGCCCTGCCAGGGTGGAGCCTGGGGAGGAGGGGCCTCAGGTGGCAGCAGAGGAGGGGGCTTTGAACTGGCTTCCCCACCCCGAGGGGGTGTGGGGCTTACCTACCTACTTGCTGGGGAGGACGCAGACCTCAACAGTGGCCCCAGGAGTGGGTCTGACCTCTCGGTCCCTCCCCACCCTGAGCCCCACCAAGCCCTCCTTCCCTGAGCCCCCTCACTTGCAGGAGGAGCAGGCCCCTGGAGGTTGGGATTGGGGGAGGGCCAGGCCAAGGGCCCATTCCTTCGGGTGACCCTGTCCTGAGGGGCTACTTCCTGGCCATGGCACCCCTCCCCCGGGCTGCACACACGACTGCGTTAGCCAGAGCTCAGAGCTCCAAGTGGGCCACAAGTCGGTGTATGAATAGCAGGGACCCTGCCTGGGTCCCTCCTGGGAGCTGGCCTGAGGCCCTGACCCCTTCTCCCCCTGAACAATGGAGACTATTTTCTTTTCCATCGATAATGTGTCTGAGTTAGCGATTCCCAAGCTCTGGGGCTGGGACAAGGTGGCTGCTGGACAAGTGAACCCAGAGCCTTGTGGGGGGCCCCCGCCCTGGTCCCCCGTCCCCGGCCACTTGGGCCCTGGCAATCACCTTCCCCAAGGCCCACACATGCAGCCTCTCAGGCCTGGAACTGGGGAACTCAGCTCTGCCTTGTCCCTCGGGATGGAAAGGCCAACCCTCTCATCTCACTGGGGGCGGGGCCCCCACTTCAGAGCTGTGACCCCCCTGGCCAGGTCCCCAGAGAAGGAAGCCTGGGGGCCGGGGCGGAGGGCCACCCAAGGCTGACCTCCAGGGCAGAGATCTCTTCCGTGCCTCCTCACCCGCCCCGGTCGGCCAGCTCCCAGGGCCCCCCACAACTCTACAGCCTCCACTGGTCATAGCTGAGGCCCTGGGCCAGCGCTCTGTCCCCCAGCCGGTCTCCCCGAAGCATTTGCCCAGCGCCTGTTGAGTGCCTGCTCTGTGCCCATCCCGGGGCGGATGCTGTGGTACCTAATCCCACTAACTCCTCCAAAAAGCCACTGTGAGGGTCAGACACCATTGTCACTCCCACTTCACAGGTGAGCAGAGGCACAGAGAGAAAAGTAACCCTCCCAAGGGTACACAGCCTTGAGAAGGCAAAGCGGAGCCCCAAAGAAGGTCTGACTGCTTCAAGTTCACACTCTGGCCTGCTGTCCCCGAAGCTTTCCTTGGGGCTGTCTGCTGGGGCGGCAGAACAGGACACATGGCCATCTGACCACAAAACACAATGAGGCACAAGGGAAGGAGGGAGTAACTTATCAGGGAAGTCCACAGACACGGGGCACTTGAAAGCTGGGCCTTGAGGGACGTGTAGGTGTTCAGCAAGTAGAGAAGAGGGCAAAGGAAGGGCCCTCCAAGTTGGGGAGCAGCATGGGAAAGGCCTAGGGGAGAGGTGGGCTTGCAGCTGGAGGGACTAGTGGGGAGAGTGAGGTCCTGGTGGGCTGGGGCACCTGGTTCCCTCCCGAGGGGCCCAGGGAGCCTGGCAGGGGCAGTTGCACAGAAGGATGACAGGGTCCTCTAGCATCCGAAGGCGCCCTGGGTGGGGGAAGGGATGCTGGGGGGTGGGGTGGGAGGGACCTTGGTTTTGTCGTTTGGGCTGAGACACCTCTCTTTTTGGTTCAAGCACTGCGAGGAGGGCACAGATGCCATCACAAACCCCCGGAACCCCTCCCGCCCTGTCACTGCCCCGAGGCTGGCGGGGGCCAGCAGGGTGTGCAGCCTGATGCTGCTACTGCTCCAGGGCGGTGACCTCACGTCCACCTGGATGGGGGGACACTGAGGGGCGGCACGGCCTGGATGCCCAGGGCCGGCCCTGTGAGGGCTCAGCCTGGGAGGAGACTTTAAAGGGTAAATCTTCTGTCCGGGAGACCAGGGATTCAGAGGCAGCTTCTGCCACCCCCACCCCACCTACACACATTCTCCTCTGGAAATAGTCTTAGCTTTTTAATTATAAAAATAATCACATCCGCTTTAGAGATTTGTTAATACAGAAAAAGTGACCAGAGATTGCCTCCTTATGCATATTTTGCATTCTTCGTTGTTTTAATTACCTTGTTTAATTACTAGCTGTGTGACCTCGGGCAGGCTAGCTAACCTCTCTGTGCCTTGTTTCTCCATTTGTAATGGGAATGATAATAATATCATCTACCTCATAAGATTGGTGTGAGAATTAAACAGAAACATCATAGGGAACGCACAACCCCCTCCCAGCCCCCCCCCCCCCCCCCCCCCCGCCCCCGGGCGCGCCCCCGGGGGGCCCAGCCACACCACAGAGAGGCCCCTTCCTGGTCCCCCGCATGTTGTTGTTTGCTGTTCAAGGACTGGACTGGATTTTATTACAAGTAAAAGTACAACTCCCCCCCACCGCCCCAGCAGGATCCCGGGTTTGTGGTGGATCTTTCCTTTTCTCTGGATCTTTTTTTGGGAGGAGGGGGTCTCAGCCCCCAGCAAATTGAGTCTCCCCTTTTTCACTCTCTTCGTCCCGTGCTAGCTGGGCATCTTCCGGGCTCATTGAAACTTTCTAGGTTCTGGGGTCGCAGGGCGGAGCGCAGGTTCAACCAGCTTCGCTCTCCTGCCCTTGGCGCAGCCGCGGGTCTGCAGGCAGACCTCGCCGAGGAGATGCGCCCTCGCCCCGCGCGTGGCCCCCGGCACGGTGTTTCCAGGACCCGGACCGACACGGGGTCCCCTCCCCACTCTCGTGGGGCCCAGTGCGAAAGAAAGAACGAGATCCACGGGCGAAGTCGGGGGGGGGGCGGTGGGGCGAGGACGGACCCCACTTCGGATCCCCAAGGTAGCCGCGTCGGGGGACAGCCAAACCACCGGACTCCCCTCTGGCAGCGTGGACCCGGGGCCCTGAGGGCCGGAGAGGGTAGGGTGAGGGGGGTGAGCAAGTGTGGGGGAAGGGCTGGGAGAGGAGGGTAAAGCAGGTCCTGAAGGCGGCCTTCTCCCCCTCCCAATGGCACATGCGCCCCAGCCCCAGCCCCAGCCCCAGCCCCAGCCTTCTGCTCTGCGCCAAGGCTTGTGCAGAGTCCGCAGCCCGCCTGGAACCTTCAGTGGAGTCCCTGGCCCAGGCGTGAGGGGGACCCTGCTGCCATCTTCCAGGACATTCCGCCCTGGGCAGCCAGACCAGATCCGCCCTGGGAGCCTCAATGTGCACCTGGAATCCCTGTCTGCAGCAGGTGAGGAGGAGAGCTCATGGGGAGGAGCGAGCGCGGGGCCACCCCACGGCAGGCTAAAAGCGCACGGGCCGTGCACCATGGAGGCGCCCCTGGCCTCTGTAAGTGCCCTCTGCACCCTGGGCTGACCTACACGAGCGGAGGGCTCGTTTCTGCAAACGAAAAACATTCCTGGCCCTAAGGGCTGCCTGGTGAGCCCAGCTCCCGCCCAGCCAGTGTGGCTCTGCGCCTGCTGTGAGCTGTCCCCTCTGGGAGCTCCGGGCCTAGCGAGGAGGCGTGGGCGAACCGCCCTCATCAGTCAGCGAAGCTGAGCCAGCCGGAGGCCCGCTCTGTCCCAGCGCTGCCTTCATCGGGTCCACCCAGGGAGTGCCAGGGGATGCCTCTATGACTCGGGTGGCCCCCCTCCTGTGCTGCATTTCTGGTGCCTGGAAGAGGCTCTCCTCGAGTCCCCCAGGGCCAGGTGAAAGTCCCCCCTGGGTGGTGGCGAGGAGCCGGGCTGGGGCCTCGCGGAAGGGGAGTGCAGCCAGATGGCGCCTGCCGATCTGCCGCGCCCCCCAGCCGGGAACGCGCGCCGAGGTTGCCTCACTCGGTCAGAAATCGAGGAAACTATGGGACTCCTGTTGGACTTCGCTCCTGCAGTGGCCGTCGCACACCCGGTTCGAGTCCAGGGACACCGAGCCAAGCGATCCCCATGGAAGCCAGAACCCTGCGCTGGGCCCCGAGTCCAGGGACGCAATGAGGGGACCTCACCACCGCGTGTCCGCGAGCGCGGCGGGGCCAGAGTCTCGGACTCATCCTCAGACACGGAACCAGACACTAGGCCAGCCTTGGCGGGAGCCCAGGGCTGGCGAAGAAGGAGGGGTAGGAATCCTCGAATCCCCCCGAACAAATTTAGAGAAGTCTACCCCGGGGCCCCACCTAGCACCGGCCGGCTCGCGTCGCCTGCGTTGGCCGGTACTCAGCGCCCGGTGCCCCAAGCCGTGCGTCCCCGTCGCCTTTCCCGCCGAGCCCCGCGAGCCGGGCCTGCTCGGGTCACGTGGCGCCGCGGCCGCAGCCCCAGCGCTGACCCCGCGGGGAGGAAAGGGAGAGCGCC